TCCTCCTCCTCCTCCTCCTCCTCCTCGTTGAAACCCTCCCCCCCGGCTGCGGAAAGGGAGGGGGGGTCTCCCGCCGGCTGCCCCCGCCCCCCCCGGGGAGCGTTTTTCGGGGGGGGGCCCGGCGCTGCGCCCCTCCTGGTTGTAGCGTCGCACCAGGAGCTCGGCCTCCTCCCGCTGCTGGTTGTAGCGTCGCACCAGGAGCTCGGCCTCCTCCCGCTGCAGCTCCACGAACACCACGGCGTCCAGGAACTCCCCCGCCTCCGGCAGCGTGAAGTTGGCTGCATTTGGGGAGAAAACGCCCGGAAATGGGAAAAGGCACCTCCCCCGGTCACCTCGTGCCCCCCCAGAAAGTCCCATCCCGCCAAAAAAGGGGGGCTTTCCCGCCAAAAAGTCATGTTTTCCTGCCAAAAAGAGGTGCTTTCCCGCCAAAAGTGGCGCTTTCCCGCCAAAAGGGGGCGCTTTCCCGCCAAAAAGGAGGGATTTCCCGCCAAAAACGGGTGCTTTCCCGCCAAAAAAGTCGCGCTTTCCCGCCAAAAAGTCATGTTTGCCCGTCAAAAAGGGGCATTTTCCCGCCAAAAAAATCATGCTTTCCCACCAAAAGGTTGCGCTTTCCCGCTAAACAAGGGCATTTTCCCGCCAAAAGGGGGCGCTTTCCCACCACAAAGGGACACTTTCCTGCCAAAAAGGGGGGCTTTCCCACCAAAAAGTCATGTTTTCCTGTCGAAAAGGGGCATTTTCCTACCAAAAAGTCATGCTTTCCCACCAAAAGGGGGTGCTTTCCCGCCCAAAAATCATGCTTTCCCGCCAAACAAAGGCATTTCCCTGCCAAAAAGTCACGCTTTCCCGCCAAAAAAGTCATGCTTTCCCACCAAAAAGGGGTATTTTCCTGGCAAAAAGTCATGCTTTCCCGTGAAAAAGGGGCACTTTCCCGCCAAGTCATGCTTTCCCGCCAAAATGGGGCGCTTTTCCACCAAAAAGTCATACCTTCCCTCCAAAAAGTGGCATGGTTCCCGCCAAAACCTGGCACATTTCCCTCCAAAACCTGCCATTTTCCCACCAAAAGCCAGCATGTTTCCCACCAAAACTGCACTCCAAAAAGTGGCACATTTCTCTCCAAAACCTAGAGTTTTCCTGCCAAAATCTGGCAGGTTTCCCACCACAGCTGGGCACATTTCCCGCCAAAATCCCCAGCCCTCCAAAAAGCGGCACGTTTCCCGCCCAATCCCGCCAAAACCCAGCTGTTTTCCCGCCAAAACCCGCCCAGTTTTCCCGCCAAAACCGCCACCCCTCCAAAAACCCATCCTTTTCCCCTCCCAGAACGTCTCTTTTTGTTCCGAAGGGGTGGGAGGGGGTGCCCCACCCCCGCCGTGTCCCCCCCGAGGGGCTCTGGGGGGGTGTTTTGGGGGGTTTTGGGGCGTCCCCCCCCACCTTTCATCTCCAGCACGGCGTGGTCAGAGGGGAGGGGGAAAAAGTCATGCTTTCCTGCCAAAAAGGGGGCGCTTTCCTGCCAAGTCACGCTTTCCCGCCAAAAAGTCATGCTTTCCTACCAAAAAGGGGCATTTTACCACCAAAAAGGGGCGCTTTCCCACCAAAAAGTCATGCTTTCCCGCCAAAACCCAGAACATTTCCTTCCAAAACCCGCCATTTTCCCGCCAAAACCTGCCGTTTTCCCGCCAAAACCCGCCCGGTTTTCCCGCCAAAACTGCCACCCCTCCAAAAAAAGCAGCATTTTCCTGCCAAAACCCAGCTGTTTTCCCGCCAAAAAAATCAAGCTTTCCCACCAAAACCTCATCCTTTCCCGCCAAAAAGTGGCATCTTTCCCACCAAAACCCAGCACATTTCCCTCCAAAACCTGCCATTTTCCTGCCAAAACCAGGCACGTTTCCCGCCAAAACTGCCAGCCCTCCAAAAAGTGGCACATTTCCCGCCAAAACCTGCCGTTTCCCCCTGAAAACCTGGGACGTTTTCCCCCAAAACCTGCCATTTCCCCCCCAAAACCTGGCACGTTTTCTACCAAAACTGCTAGCTCTCCAAAAAGTGGCATTTTCCCCCTAAAACCCAGCACATTTCCTGCCAAAACGCAGCCGGTTTCCCGCCAAAACCCCCAGCCCTCCAAAAAGCCGCACATTTCCCGCCAAAACCCGCCCGGTTTTCCCGCCAAAAGGGCTTCCCCTCCAAAAACCCATCCTTTTCCCCTCCCAGAACGTCTCTTTTTGTTCCGAAGGGGTGGGAGGGGGTGCCCCCCCCCCGCCGTGTCCCCCCCTGGGGGCTCTGGGGGGGTGTTTTGGGGTGTTTTGGGGCGTCCCCCCCCACCTTTCATCTCCAGCATGGCGTGGTCAGAGGGGAGGGGGAAAAAGTCATGCTTTCCTGCCAAAAAGGGGCATTTTACCACCAAAAAGGGGCGCTTTCCCGCCAAAAAGTCATGCTTTCCCGCCAAAGAGGGGCGCTTTCCCGCCAAAACCCAGAACATTTCCCTCCATAACCCGCCATTTTCCCGCCAAAACCTGCCACTTTTCCGCCAAAACCTGGAACATTTCCTGCCAAAACCCAGTATCCCTCCAAAAAGTGGCATTTTCCTTCCAAAACCCGGAACATTTCCCTCCAAAACTCGCTGTTTTCCCGCCAAAACCTGCCCGGTTTTCCCGCCAAAAGGGCTTCCCCTCCAAAAAGCCATCCTTTTCCCCTCCCAGAACGTCTCTTTTTGTTCGTGTCCCCCCCGTGGGGCTCTGGGGGGGTGTTTTGGGGTGTTTCGGGGTGTTTTGGGGCGTCCCCCCCCACCTTTCATCTCCAGCATGGCGTGGTCAGAGGGGAGGGGGAAAAAGTCATGCTTTCCTGCCAAAAAGGGGCATTTTACCACCAAAAAGGGGCGCTTTCCCGCCAAAAAGTCATGCTTTCCCGCCAAAGAGGGGCGCTTTCCCGCCAAAACCCAGAACATTTCCCTCCATAACCCGCCATTTTCCCGCCAAAACCTGCCACTTTTCCGCCAAAACCTGGAACATTTCCTGCCAAAACCCAGTATCCCTCCAAAAAGTGGCATTTTCCTTCCAAAACCCGGAACATTTCCCTCCAAAACTCGCTGTTTTCCCGCCAAAACCTACCCGGTTTTCCCGCCAAAAGGGCTTCCCCTCCAAAAACCCATCCTTTTCCCCTCCCAGAACGTCTCTTTTTGTTCCGAAGGGGTGGGAGGGGGTGCACCACCCCGCCGTGTCCCCCCCGTGGGGCTCTGGGGGGGTGTTTTGGGGTGTTTCGGGGTGTTTTGGGGCGTCCCCCCCCACCTTTCATCTCCAGCACGGCGTGGTCGGGGACGTCCTTGCCCTCCTCGTCGGTGCGTTTGAGGGTGCGCGCCCGCAGGTCCTGGTCGGTGGGACACACCACGATGGCCTTGCGCTGGAAACCCTCGAAGGGACGCAGCTTCCGGCGCTGCGCCGACCCGTACACGTTGGTCTGGATGGGGGGGGAACGGGCAGAAAACGGGGAAAAAACGCCAAAAAAATATTTAATTCCATTAAAAAACAGTTAGAAACCATCAAAAACCGGCTAGAAACCATCAAAAACCGGCTAGAAACCATGAGAAACCAGCTAGAAACCAGCTAGAAACAATTAAAACAGTTAAAAACCATGAAAAACCACTTAGAAACCATGAAAAACCAGTTAGAAACCATGAAAAACCACTCAGAAACCGTTAAAAAACAGTTAGAAACCATTAAAACAGTTAGAAACCACTTAAAAAACATTAAAAACCAGTAAGAACAGCTAGAAACCTTTAAAAACCAGTAAAAACCAGTTCCAAACTGTTAGAAACCGCTTAAAAACCATTAGAAACCAACTAGAATCCACTTAAAAAATATTAAAAACCACTTAGAAACCAGGTAGAAACCACTTTAAAAAACATTAAAAACCACTTAGAAACCAGCTGGAGACCTTTAAAAACCAGTTAGAAACCATTAAAACAGTTATAAACCATTAGAATCCACCTAAAAAACATTAAAAACCAGTAAAAACCAGCTAGAGAC